GGGGGAGCCGCAGGGTGGGGCAGGAGGGCGGGGCATGTGGTAAAGGGGTGGGGCAATGGGGTGAGGGTGTGAGGGCAGGGTGCTGTATAGGAAGGAGGGGCTTGTGTGAGGGGCGGGGTCTGGGTTCAGGGTGTGGCTAAGGGCAGGGCAGGGATTGGCTGAGGGGGGGAGCTTAAAGCAACTGGGTGGAGCTTCCAGTCTGGGGAGGGCCATGGGGGGCGGGGCTTGGGAGCAGAGGAGGCGGGGTCTGGGCGGGGCAGAGCCTTGGGCAGGGCGGGTGATACGGTGACGCGGGTGCCAGGCCGGCGGCACCGGAGCTGTCGGAGCAGGCGGTGCGGGCGCTGCTGCGGGACGTGATGGCCAGCGCTGACCTGGAGAGCGTCACCTCCAAGGAGGTGGGTGCCACCAGGCGGGGGTCCCGGCGGGCCGAGGGCCTGGCTCGCAGGCAGGAGCAGGCAGGGGCGGGCAGGCACGGGGCCAGCCCTCACCCCGTGGCCATGCCCAGGTGCGGGAGGAGCTGGAGCGGCGCACGGGGCACAGCCTGGCCCAGCACAAGGACTTCATCGACAACGAGATGCTGCTGGTGCTGGCGCAAATGGACCGGCCCTCCCGCATCTTCCCGCACCTCTACCTGGTGGGCAGCGGGGCGGGCAGGGCGGGCAGGGCGGGCATGGCTGTCCCCAACCCTCACCGCTGCCACCGCGCAGGGCTCCGAGTGGAACGCGGCCAACCTGGAGGAGCTGCAGCAGAACCGGTGAGCGTGGAGTGGCACGGGGTCATCTGGGGTGGCACGGTGGGGCGGGCATGGCGTCATCTGGGGTGGCACAGCGGGGTGGCACGGGGCCATCATGGGGTGGCATGGTGGGGTGGGCATGGGGTCATCTGAGGTGTCATGGTGGGGTGGGCACATGGTCATCATGTGGTGCCCCAGCAGGACGGGTATGGGATCATCATGAGGTGTCATGGTGGAGTGGGCATAGGGCCATCATGGGGTGGCACGAGGCCACTATGGGGTGTCACGGTGGGGTGGGCACGAGGTCACCATGAGATGGCGTGGTGGGGTGGGCCTGGGGTCATCAGGGGACACTGATGGGGTGGGCATGGGGTCATCGTGGGACACCCGTTGGGGTGGGCATGGGGTCTTCGTAGGGCACCCAGCAGGGTGGGCCTGGGGTCATCGCGGGACACTCAGCAGGGTGGGTGCAGCGGGGCTGTGGCACCGCGGTGGGGTGGACATGGGGCACCCCATAGAGCGCGGGCAGAGCCCCAACCCTGCGTGCCGGCTGTGCCCCCTGCCCGTGGCACCGCAGGATCACCCACATCCTGAACGTGGCGCGGGAGATCGACAACTTCTTCCCGGCACTGTTCACCTACATGAACGTGCGGGTGTACGACGAGGAGACGGCCCAGCTCCTACCCCACTGGAACGACACCTTCCTCTTCCTCTCCCGTGTCCGGTCAGTGGGGCCAGGGCAGCCTCAGGGCACAGGGACATGGCGGGGCGGGGGCCATCGCGGGGACACGAGGGGGACACAGGGTGTGGGGGGCACGGAGGGGCAGGGGCTGGAGCCA